AGGGGGAGGGGCAAAAGCGACGGCAGAGAAATGAAATGAATGGAATTAATTAATTAAAATTAATGAAATAAATTATTTTGTTGTGATGGGAGACCCCCCAGACCCCCCCAAAATGTCACTCCTGTCCCCTCCCCCCCCCAGCCCAGGTGGGAATTTTGGGGAGAACAGGACTGGGAACCCCAAAAATGGGACTGGGAACCCCTAAAATGGGACTGGGAACCCCAAAAATAGGACTGGGAACCCCTAAAAGGGACTGGGAACCCCAAAAATGGGACTGGGAACCCCAAAAAGGGACTGGGAACCCCAAAAATGGGACTGGGAACCCCAAAAATGGGGCAGGGACCCGGGGTCGCGGGGGTTTGGGGAGGTTCAGGGGGGTTCAGGGGTGCCCCCCAAGTTCTCAGTGGGGTTTTTGGGGGGGTTCAGGGGTTTTTGGGGGGTTCAGGGGGTATCAGTGGGGTTTTTTGGGTATTTTTGGGTGTTTTGGGGGTTTTTGGGGTGCATCAATGAGGTTTTTGGGTGTTTTGGGGGGTTTTGGGGGGTTTTTAGGGGGTTTTTGGGGGTTTTTAGAGCGTATCAATGGGGTTTTTGGGGTGTTTTTGGGGTATTTTTGGGGTTTTTAGGGGTTTTTGGGGTTTTTGGGGTGCATCAATGGGGTTTTGGCTGTTTTTGGGGTTTTTTGGGGCGCATCAATGGGGTTTTGGGGTGTTTTTAGGGTTTTTTGGGGTTTTTAGGGGTTTTTGGGGTGTTTTTGGGGCGCATCAATGAGGTTTTTGGCTGTTTTTGGGATTTTTTGGGGTGTTTTTAGGGGTTTTTGGGGTGTTTTTGGGTGTTTTTAGGGTTTTTGGGGTGCATCAATGGGGTTTTTGGGGTGTTTTTTCAGGGTTTTTGGGGTGTTTTTGGGGGTTTTTGGGGTGTTTTTGGGGTGTTTTTAGGGGTTTTTGGGGTGTTTTTGGGTGTTTTTAGGGGTTTTTGGGGGTTTTTAGGGGTTTTTGGGGTGTTTTTAGGGGTTTTTGGGGTGTTTTTTCGGGGTTTTTGGGGTGTTTTTGGGGGTTTTTATGGTTTTTTTGGAGCACATCAATGAGTTTTTTGGGTGTTTTTGGGGTGTTTTTGGGGTTTTTGGGGTGCATCAATGGGGTTTTGGGGGTTTTTAGGGCGCATCAATGAGGTTTTTGGGGTGCTTTTGGGGTGTTTCTGGGGTGTTTTTGGGTATTTTCGGGGTTTTTTGGGGCTCATCAATGAGGTTTTGGCACGTGCCCATCCACGTAGAAGTTGCGTGTGAGCCGGGGCAGCTCGATGCGCGCTCCCTCCATGGCCGGGCTCAGGCTGAGCTGACAGCCCAGGCGAGAATTCTCCCGCAGCAGCGGCGCCTGGTCCAGCAGATCCTCCTCCCTGGGGGGCAGCGGCACCGTCAGGGGGTCCTGGGGGGTCCTGGGGGGGTCCTGGGGGGTCCTGGGGGGGTC